GGACTCAGGTCCTCTGCAAGGGCAGTTAGGGCTCTTACCTGCTGAGTTATCTATCCAACCCCTATTTTTCACCTTCTCCTTAGGTACCAGGCCTAAATTTTTTTTATTACATTTAACAAATAACTAATTAATTAATTGTGTGTGTGTGTGTGTGTGTGTGTGTGTGTGTGTGTGTAAGTCAGAGGAAAACTTGTTCTGGTTTCTCCTTCTACCATGTGGGTCCCAGGGATTGAGCTCAAGACATCAGCAGGCTTGGCAGCAAGTACCTTTACCTGCTGAACTATCTCACTGGCCCAGGGACCAGGCCTTAAAAAATCCTCATTGTAGCATTACTTGATTAAATTGTACTAAAAAGCCCTGTCTTTAAGTTGTGACTTCTGAGTTATAGACAAGGTTGTAAGCCCTTTCTTCTCTCCTGCATTCCAAGGTGTCCATTTCTCTCCCCCCAACTCCCAACCTATCCCTAGCCCCCATTCAGAATTCTGCGTCACCCAGGGATTCTTACCTATTCCCCATCATAACTAACACAGAAGTGGGGTAGAGGAGAGCAAGGCTGCTGTATTTTTGTTTTGTTTTGAAACAAGTCTGATGTAGCCCAGACTGGCCTTAAACTTGCCATGTAGCTGAGGATGATCTTGGAAACCTGATTCTCCTGCCTCCACCTGAGATTACAGGCTTGCCTCCACCACACCTGGTTTATAAGGTTGTTGTTTTGAGGTAACTACACAGAGGGAAATTAGGCACTTCCTTCCATTTTATTCCAGGGATTTAAAATTATTTATTTATTTATTTATTTATTTATTTATTTATTTATTTATTTATTTAAACAGGGTCTCCCTGTAGCCCCAGCTGGCCTGGAACTCACTAGGAAGCCCAGGCTGGCCTTGAACTCACAGAGCTTCCCATGCCTCTGCCTCCTGAATGCTGGGATTAAAGGAATGCACCACCACGCCCTGCCAATTTAAAATTAAAAAAAAAATTTTATTTTACGTGTATGAGTGTTTTGTCTGTCTAAAGGCGGCCAGAAGAGGAGGATCAGATCCTCTGGAACTGAAGTTCAGAGCGGTTGTTAGTCATCACGTGGGTGCTAGAAACTGAACCTGTGTCACTGCAAGAGCAGCCAGTGCTCTTAACCCTGAGCCATCTCTCCAGCCCCTCTGGTGATTTTTTTTTGGTCTTTTTGAGACAGTGTCTCCCTTGTAGCCCCAGCTGACCTGGAACTAGACCAGACTGGCCTCGAACTCACAGAGCTCCTCCTGCCTCTGCCTCCCAAGTGCTGGGATTAAAGGTGTGCACCACCACACCTGGCCCAGTGATTTTTTTTTTTAAAGTCTGTAATATTAGCTCAGCTAATCTGTTTCTCCATTAAAATTGCTTTGAAGAATTTTCTGGTAATGCTCACCTTGATTTCACCAAGAGAAAAAGGACTGGGTCTATGTTATGATAGCACAGTGGTAATGCTAAAGAGATTCTGGCATGTTTTTAGGCCAACAGAAATAATCTTAGGATAGTATCAGGATACCAGATTACAGCATCATGATGTTTCCATAGTAATGCAACTTTAAACCTTGGCCTCAGAAAGTGAAACAATTGTAACCCAGAGACTCACTGGAAAATATGCTTTGGTACTGTGATAACAGGATGCCTGAGAATCATGAGGGAAAAGAGGGGAAATGGCTCTTGTGAGCCCATTCAGGTATGATTCAGGCAGCAGAGAAGCAGGGAAAATCAAATGTTGCATGAAATGAACATATCTAAGGAACGAAGTTTTCACTAATAGTGGCTCTGAGTTACATATTTCAGACATGCAGACCCCAAAAGGAAGTTCATGTCATTTCTTCTGGGTGAAAGCACATGCATCTTTATAATACCACTTATTTCTGTTGCTTTTACTGTCTTATAATCCTCAGTGCTGCTTTCCTTTTGTAAATAGGGAAACATACTAACATGTTTTCTGAAATATCTTGATTTTGGACAGGCCAGCCCATCATGCTTGAACAATTGGTTTTAACCTTGTAGAGATTTCAATTCTGCTAAAGGATTTAGGTCCCCAAATGATAGCTCTAATTTGTTAGCCTAATGTGCTCAGACCCTGCATAGGTTCTTTGCATTTATTTTCTTAATTAATGACAGCCCACTAAATGTTGATATTATTGTACTATTTTCTAGATAAGAAACTAAGACTTAGAAATGTTAGGTAAATTACCCAATGTTACACAGCTAGTGAAGTTACAGTTACATAAGATCTGTTTAGTTCCAAAGCCTTGGAGTTTAACTGTTTTTTAAATTTCAGAGCTAAAAACTTTAGGTTCTATCCTCTACCTTGACTAAGATCAGCCAGATGTAATTTTTCTTTTAAAAGATGACTTGAATGGCAATGATTACTGCATATCTGGACCAGAATAGAAAGGCAGAGGGTAAACAGTTCTTATCAGCAAGCTTCATCTTTATATTTGGTGTAACTTGGATATGAACTATGTCCACAAAAGGCTCATGTGTCAAAGCTTGGTTCCCAGATGGGGGTCCTGCTGAGAGATGATTGGGTCATGAGGGTGCTGACATCATTAACAGACTGACCCACTGAGGAGTCCGTCACTGAGTGGGTAGGAGGTGGGGCACAGTTGAAGGAAGGAGGACATGGGCATGGCTCTTGTCCCGAGACATTCTGTCTTACTGGCTCTGCTTCCTGGCCTCCATGAGAGGAGCAGCTTTGCTCACTACACGCTGTCTGCTATGATGTTCTGCTTTCACACCAGCCCACAGTGATGAGGCCAAGTGACCACAGACTGACACTTCCTAAACCAGGAGCCCAAAAAAATCTTTCCTTCCTTAGGTTGTTTTCTTAGGTGTTCTGTCATGGTGACACAAGTAACAAGTACTCAGAAGGACCCAGATAACAAAATCAACAATATAAGAGTGGAACACTATGTTAGATGCCGAATGATGGCTAGTCCTTTCTGTCAGGACCACACGAACCTAGACTTACATGCCATCTGATTTGGTGCATGCTTGCAGCCCATCAGGGTTCCATAATTGGTTTGAACTAAAATTCTCTTGGGCTGGACCTTCTGCAGTTTGGTACAAAGCAATTGAGTATGGCTCTGTTTCACAGCCCACTCCCACTCTGCAGTATACTTGAGGCCACAGAACACTTTAGTCTCACCCTTAGGCTTAGTCCTGTCATTCCCAAACCCACCGTGACCGGATACAGGAAATACCACTGGAGCTCCAGCCCATGTTCTGAAGCTCAGCATTGAGTGGGCTGGCTGCCAGAGGCACTGCCCATTCATTGAGAGCACTGTGGGAAATACTTAGATCTGAGACCAGTCAGAATCATGGAATGACTGGGAAAGGCTAGCTATAGTTCTCCTTAGGGAAAAAAAGGAAGAGGAAAGGTTCAGAATTCATACATTTTGGAAGGTTTATAATCCTAACTGCACCAGGCTATATGACATCCAGGAGAACCTTCAAAAAGAGACAAGGGCACTATACATAGAAATTGTTCAGAGGATATGTGCAGACCCTTGGCATGGACATCCTCCGTGGGGGGCAGGAAAGCAGAGGAGTTCCTTTGTCTTTCACTCCCCCTTGCAGATTTCTGAAATGTCCATGTATTTGAGGCCCTCAGGGTAATGCAGATGCCAGGGTTGCCCTCTCTAAGCTGCTGACTGCCCAAATGGGGTGACCCTGTAGTGTCTGCATTTTCATGGCTCTCCTAGTGATTCGTGTTACCTGTTCTTTGAACTAATCTTGAGGATTACTGTCGGAGTGAGATTTGACAGAAATACTCAGAAAGTTGGGAAATACTCTTTTGGGGAGTTGCCACTCATTTTGAGAAGTTATGGATCTCTGAGAAGGAAAATGGACAAGATGTGTTGCTTGCTTCTTACCACTCCTCTTTTGGCCTTTAAGCTTGAGTATCTTTACTGTGCCTTCCTTAATCCCTGTGCCCACACAAAGGTGTGCCTTTGCTCTAAAGCCATATACAGCACAGATTTATTTTTTATTTTTAAAAATTTTTATGTGTATGCGTGTATTGCCTGCATGTAGGCAAGTGCACCCATGTCCTGCAATGCCCGCAGAGGTCAGAAGAGGCTGTCGGATCCCCTGGAACTGGAGTTATGGACAGTTGTTAGCTGCCATGTGGGTGCTGGGATTCGAACCTGGGTCTTCTGCAAAAACCACCAGTGTTCTTAACTGCTGAACCATCTCTCTAGCCCTACAGCACAGATTTTTACAGTCTGCTAAGACACTGGGACAGATGGGAGGACCAGAGGAGCAAGGGAGACCAGGAGGGAGGAGTTGTCACCCATGTCCTTAGTCATCATAGTCATTTGGAACATGGAGCCACGATGACTCTGCCAAAAACCAAGGCCCCTAGGGTACTGTGCCATACAGGGCAGGTAGTCACTGACCCAGACACAGCAACCATGACAGTCAGTTATGTTCAAGGTCCCAGTGAGGGCAGCGGGGACATCTCAAGCTGACAAAATAGTGAAGCATTTTACACATAAGAATGAACTGTCCTCTTTCAAAAATGAATTTAATAAAAGTGTAGTGATTCAACTTTTCTTCCCCAAGAAAGTCAGTAAGAAGAGGAAAGGAAAAGGAAAAGTGAGTTCTTGAGAGGTGCTGACATTCCGGTTTCAATGTAGGTTTTGAAACAAGATCATGCTGCAGGGCACAGCTAAACAGCCACACTGGAGGGGAGGGATGAAGGCAGCAGGCACGGTTTTCTTTCTGCCTGCTCCAGCCTAGGACTTGTGCTAGGGACAGCTTTGTACACAGAATGTAGAGGCCTAATAGTTTTCACTTCTGTGTTACAGAAGTAACACAAAGGGATTGGATTTGCTGATCTCCAAATTCTATGAAGTCAGGCTAAAAGTTCTGTGAAATGTTTCTTGTAGCCTTTAAATAAACATTGGTTAAATTATTTCACAAAGAAATACATTTTAGAATTAAACGAGTAGGTGAGAATACTTGGGATGCTTGGGCATTACCTGTCATGTCTCAGTATAGGTGTAGGCAACACGCTTGTCAGAAGCCATCCGAATTCAGCCAGAGTGTGGAGCAGAGGGCCATAATCTGTTTTGATTTCACAGCCCTGTGTGAAGAAGCATAAGAGCTGACAGTCTAATGACAAGGACAGCTAGCCAGCTACACTGATAACTAGGATGGAGAGGTGAAGCATGTTATGATGGGGGAGTTCACTGTCCATCTGCTATGATTTTCAGACCTTCATTTTCTGTGACTGCTGATTTCTTAGAAACACTGAGAGAGGAGGACAGTGGCCATTCAGGCCTTTATTTGGTCTTGTTAGGCTATGATCCTCAGATTCTAATGTGTGGAACAGGAAATCTGTATTTTTCTTTTCTTTCTTTCTTTTTTTTTTGGTCTTTTTGAGACAGGGTCTCCCTGTAGCCCAGCTGTCCTGGAACTCCCTATGTAGACCAGGCTGGTCTTGAACTTGCAGAGATCTGCTTGCCTCTGCCTCCCAAGTGCTGGGACTAAAGGTGTGCGCCACCATGCCCAGAGCTGGATAGAGCATGCTGGGATAGGAGGCTGAATATCCAAAGACTGGTCATGTGAGAAATGAAGTACATTCTTCCTGGCCTCTTGGTGAGGCGACTTGTGAGACATCAGACCCTCCCACTGGGCTGTGTGCCAGCCCCTCCCATACTTCCCAGGGAAGTCAGCAGCTCAGCCTGAAGAATCTGGAAGCCTTGCCAAGTAACCTGTAGGTATGCAGGATTCTTGGTCCCTTCTGTCGCTGAAGAACCTGATGGGATTAAGGCTAGTGCAGCGCTGAGATGGGGGCTGGCCAGAGCCCAGGGCAGGTGCGGAGCTTTTTCAGCTTTTATATCTACTTCCTGTGTGCCCCAAGGCAAGTCTCTCTACTTCCCTGGGACTTAGAAGGAAGAGAAAGGAGCATGCTGGGTACTCTTTAGGGATCTGGAAGAAGTATCCCATAGAGCCTTGATGTGTTATAAACAGGAATGTGTTTTATTTTTATGTGTATGAGTGTTTTGCCTGCACGTATGTGTAAGTGCACCCATCACGTTGCTCTGCACAGGGGCCAGAAGAGGGCATCATATCCCCTGAAACTGGAATTATGGGTGATTGTTAGCTGCCATGTGGGTCCTGGGAACTGAACCCAGGTCCTCTGCAAGAACAGCTAGTGCTCTTAACTGCTGAGTCATCTCTCCAGCCACAGAACCTGTATTTTTATTTTTATTAAATTAAATTAAATTAAATTAAATTAAATAATGTATTTATTTATTTTGGTCTTTTTGAGACAAGGTTTCCCTGTAGCTCCAGCCAGCTTGGAACTTACTATGTAGACCAGACTGGCCTCAAACTCCTAGAGACCTGCCTGCCTCTGCCTCCTGAGTGCTGGGATTAAAGGCCTGTACCACCACAGCTGGCCGGAATTTTTTACTTAAAATTTTACTTCTTTTACCCAAAGTTTCCATACCCCCTCAAGGGGATTTTAATTTCTTTGAAAATGAGTTAAGGAAAGTCTTCCTGCAAGACCCTGACTGTGAGGGGGCAGTCCAATGGATGACATCTGAATTCAGAGTGCACAACTGCAACAGCAATGTCAAGTCTGATTAGGAAAGACAGTGCTGTGAGTACTTACCTGACCAGGTGAGAGAAAGAACACCGTGGGTAGTTCTGCCTTCAAAAGTCTATTCATGAGAAAACGTGTCATAAGGGGGCTGGAGAGATGGTTCAGTGCTCTTGCAGAGGACTTGGATTTGTTTTCAAGCACCCACATGGCAGCTAACAACAATCTGTTACTCCAGTTCTAGGGAATCCAGCTCCCTCTTCTGGCCCCTGTAGGCATTGCACAACATGGGTGCACTTCTGTGCATGCAGGCAATACACAAATACACATAAAAAAATTTTTTTTTGGTCTTTTTTGAGACAGGGTCTCTCTGTAGTCCCAGCTGGCCTGGAACTCGCTTTGTAGACCAGGCTGGCCTTGAACGCACAGAAATCCGCTAGCCTCTGTCTCCCGACTGCTGAGACTAAAGGTGTGCACCACTATGCCCGGCTGCACATAATTTTTTTTTTTAAAAATCAAAAATATTTTAAGTATAGCCAGGCATGGTAGTGCACGCCTGTAGTCCCAGCACTTGAGAAGCAGAGGCAGGTGGATCTCTGTGAGTTCGAGGCCAGTCTGGTCTACATAGTGAGTTCCAAGGCAGCTGGGGCTACAGGGAAACCCTGTTTTAAAAAAACCCCCCAAAAATTTTTTTTTAAAAAGTGATTTTAGGTTAAAAAAGTGTATCTTGTTGACTGCTTGGAGGTTAAAGATTAGTTGAGTGAATAAATTATTATTTTTCAATTATTGTCAAGGCATTTTGTAGTGAGGATTTTAGTACCAGAGAATTTTGACTAGAGATAGAGTCTTGAATTTTGGGAATCTTCTATTAAAGTACAGATAATTATTTTTGCTATTTTACCAAAAAATTAAAATGGGTAAAGCATGCAGAAGAAGTTTGCCTGTTTGTTTGTGGTGACATTCTGAAGACTAGACCATCTGTGTTTAAGGATACCACATGTACCAGGCACTAAAGGTCTTTAGTGTGTAAAAGGAAAGCAAAATTGTCAGAAAACTGCAGCTCACCTCAATGACGGTCCATTGTTCTACCACAATAGCATCATTTCCTTTCCTATTAGAGCCTGGAACTCCAAAACCTTCTTCTTCATAGATAAAAAATCCTTCCAAAGATTTAGACAAATGGTCCCCTGGTGGGAAAAAGTATAAAATTCAGAACAGTCATAAGTAAATGATACCTGTTTCTAAAGATCACCTAACTCCTTAAGCCAACCTTTATAGTAAGCTGAAAGAAAAACCTTCCAATTGAAAAGCATCTGTTTTCATGGTGGAAGAGTTGAACTCAGTGCTAGAATAATTTCCTAGTATGTTTGATGCCCCAGGTTCGATCCCCAGCATCAGACAACAAAAGAAGCTGGGTGATGTGGCTCACACTGTAATTCTAGAACCTGGGAGGTGGAGGTAGGAGGAAGATCAGGAGCTCAAGGTCATCCTTAGCTGCATAGCAAGTTTAAGGCCAGCTTGGACTACAAGAGATGCTGTCTCAAAACACATACTCAAAAAGGGACTGGAGAGACAGCTCAATGGTTAAGATCACTTGCTGCTCTCCTAGAGGATTAAAGATCAGTTCCCAGCACCCAAATCCAGTGGCTGAAAATTTAGTAACTCCAGCTCCAGTTCCCCTCCCCTAACCTGCACTGCCCCTCCATAGCCTGTTCACATGCATTCTGTCATAAATGTCAAGGCCTGGGCCGGGAGTGGTGGTGCACGCCTTTAATCCCAGTACTCGGGAGGCCAGCCTGGTCTACATAGTGAGTGTCTCAAAAAGACAAAAAAAAAAAAAAAAAAAAAAAAAAAAAAAAATCTCTCTCTCTGCCCCACCCCCCCGTAGCCCCAGCTAGCCTAGAACTCATTACGGCCTCAAACTTATAGATATCCACCTGCCTGTGCCTCTCGAGTGCTGAGATCAAAGGCATATGCCACTATGCCCAGCTCTTTTTTTCTTTTTTTGAGACTAGGCTGGCATCAAAGTTGACATGTAGCTGAGGTGACCCTCCTGCTTCTGCCTCTCACCTGTGGGGGGGGGGGGGGGGGTGTCCCGCTCTGACCCCGAAACCGGGGGGGCCGTCGTGTTTAAAATAGGGAGGGTCGAAAAAAAAAAAAAAAAAAAAAAAAAAAAAAAGTCAAGCCCTATTGAATCAAGCCTGTGTACCCAGATGTGCCACAGTATGAGTTCATCCATTCTGGAGCCTCAGCCTATCTAAAGTTACTCCCTTAGAGAAGATCAACTGTCCCTCACCCAGGAGTTATCCGCTGCCAATAGTTCCTCAGCTAAGGTTGGGACCTCCTGCCCCTGTCCACAGTTCTATGCTGTTTTTTTTTCTGATTGAGTTTGCATGGGTCTGTGCATGCTGTCACCATTGCTATAAGTTCATTTAGCAAGTTCCTAGGAACCTGGAAGACTCTGTTTCTTTATGGTCATGTACCACCCGTGTCTCTTACAATCTTTCTGCCTCCTCTTCTACAATGGTCCCTGAGCCCTGGGTGGGTGAGGTTTAATATAAGTTCTATCCAGGGACACACACTCTGAAGATTTTATTTTTCAATGAAAGTGAAGACAGTTTTATATTTCATTGAATTAAAATCAAACATATACATGGAAACGAGCAGAGAAGAAACAAGATTAAATAGTGTGAGAGTGAACAGAAAATCCCCAAAACATCTAGAAATGACTTTCATCTCAAAATCAAATTTTGATTTCTGATTAACATTGAAAATATTAATCCTTGAAATTAGAGATATAATATTAAAATTAGTGCGTGGTAAGAGCTTTAAAAATTATAAACACAGAGCTTGGGAGATGGTTTAGTGGGTAAAGTGCTTCTGGTTGTGGTGACAGATGATCTAGGATTTGCTGACCTACCAGCTCAGCCAAAATGGCAAGCTCCAGATTCTGCCAGAGACTCTTCCCCCCCCTCCAAATAAGGCAGAGAGTGATAAGAAAAAGATACCTGACATTGACTTCAGGCTTTACACACACATGCATGGGCAAGTGCTCAGGCATACATATATATCACACATACACGCACACACACAGTTATAAACACAGAACAATTATTTACATTGATGCATTAAAAATCTAAGCTCCCCAAAATAAATAGCGACAGGAAGACCCTAAACAGAACTCATTGTCAAAAGAATTCCTGCAGGGAAGGAAGTTTTCAAGGAAGGCCTCTCTGACTTTTTCTTGAATAGTTGACAATGACCATCTGGCCTAAATGAAAAGGATTTAATGGAAATTCTATTGTCTCCTACTTTGCAATAGAAGACATTTTTTCTTATGGTCATGTGCTGGGTAAACATTGTAGTTTTTATGTAGCACAATGTCACATCAAAGTTTCCCTGTTTGATTCTTTTCAAAATAACAAAAGCTTAGGAAGCTTTCACATAATAGTTTAAGCTTAAAGATAATAAAGACAAAACTAATTTCAAGTTAATTTTTAGTTTTAATTTTCATTAACAGAACTTTCAGAGCAAATGATTTTTACTTTTTTAAAAAAATCATTGCTCTAGGGCAGAATGCAACAAATCATTTACATTTTTTTGGAGTGGTTCCCAGGAATGCAGTAAAGCTTAATTTACTAGCTGGAACTGGTTTTCTACTTATATGTTCTACTTTCTTTGAGTGTAGTTTTCCACTGTCACAACAGAGTGACCAGTGGAATAAAATATGATCATCTTTAAAATTGTATATATCTCAACACCTTTTTTAGAATGGGGCTATGAATTTTTAAAATAATTATATAGTGCAATAATTCTGTAGTTAATTTCAGACTTTTGTTTCTTTGGGGACTATGCAATTTGAAAACCATAGAGCATATGGCTCTGTGTCTGTTTTTTTTTTTTTTTTGGTCTTTTTGAGACAGGGTCTCCCTGTAGCCCCCGCTGTCCCGGAACTCACTATGGCCTTGAACTCACAGAGATCCACCTGCCTCTGCCTCCCAAGTGCTGGGATTAAAGGTGTACTCCATCACACCTGGCCCCTGTTTTCTTATTTTTAAAAATAGTTTATTTATTGTTTTTATTTTATGTGTATGAATATATTTCCTGCATGTGTGTAAGTACACCTGTGTAGAGCAATGCCTGTGGAGGACACCACTTCTCCTAAAGGCTAGCTCTCATAGCTTTGGAGAGCACTACACAAGCTGCTGAGGGAGAACATCAATCAATGGTCCAATACCAGCTTCAAGACCAATTAACCACATCAATGACCAGCACAGTATACAACATTGGTGCAGTAGTGGCCCTTATTTTTCTTTTTCTTTTTTTTTTTGTTTTTTTGAGACAGGGTCTTCCTGTAGCCCCAGTCAAATTAGTATCCCCAGATGTTCCTCAGTGCAAGTTCATCTACTGAGATCTAGTCAGCTTATCTAGAGTTCTCACTTTAGGAAGATCATCTCTTCCTCACCCAGTACTAATCATTTGCCAATATTTCTTCAGTTAAGATTTGGGTGTGCTGTCCACTTCCCCAGTTCTATGCTGAGTTTTTTTCTGCTTGAGTTTGCATGAGTCTTGTACATGCTGACACTATTACTGTAAGTTCTAATGAGCAGGGTCCCAGGAGCTTGTAGGACTCTCTTCCCATATGACCATGCACTTCTTCCCTGGCTCTTACAATTTTTCCACCCCCTCTTCCACAATGCTCCCTGAGCCCTGGGTGAGTAAACTTTAGACCCATCCAAGGATCAGCACTCTGCAGACTCTTAATCTCTATGCTTTGGCCATTTGTGACCTTTTGTGTCCCTGGCCCTCTGTTGCACGAGGGAGCTTCATTAATGAGAACTGAAATATTCATTAGTTCCTTTTTACCCCTTGTTCTGTCTTCCATGAACCTTAGGTGTAGAGGTTGCATTGTAGATGTGCCACTTAGGCTTGGACAATTCACAGACAATGTCTGTGTGTGACCAGTTGTGGTACTCTGTAAATAGTCTCCATCTGGTGCAAAAGAACCTTCTTTGATGAGTGGTGACTGGGATAGTTGTCTGTAAATATGAGGATGCATATTTTGCACATAGTAAGAAATTACATTAGTCTAGGCATTTGACAGTCTTGTGGTTTTCTCTAAGATCTATGACCTCTCCAGTCACGTGTGTTTGGCTGTTTACAGTACCACATAGCATTTCTTCCCAATGAATGGGCTTTTAGTCGAATTAGGTAGCTGTTGATTGCCCCCAAGATAAAAGTGCCACTACTGCTGGGCGTGGTGGCACATGCCTTTAATCCTAGCACTCGGGAGGCAGAGGTGGCAGATCTCTGTGAGTTCAAAGCCAGCCTGGTCTACATAGTGTGTTTCAGGCCACCTGGGGCCTACAGGGACTACAGGGAGACTCTGTCTCAAAAAGACAAAAAAAAATTATAAATTTTTTTTATTGTTTTTATTTTATATGTATGAGTGTAGTGCCTGCATGTGTGTAAATGCACCCAATGTTATGCTATGCCTGCAGAGATCGGACCCCCTGGAACTGAAGTTATGGATGGTTATTAGCTGCCATGTGGGTGCTGGGAACTGAATCCAGGTCCTCTGCATGAGCAGCCAGTTGCTCTTAACCACTGAGACATCTCTCCAGCCCTATTTTCTTTTTTAAAAAAAATTATTTTTATTTATGTGTGTGTATATGTGCTTTCTTGTCTGTATATGTACCACATGTGCTCACAGAAGCCAGAAGAGGGCACCAGAACCCCTGGAACTGAAGTCACAGGCAGTTATGAGCTGCCTTATATGGGTTCTGGCAACTGAACCTGAGTCCTCTGCAACAGCAGCAGCAACCAGTGCTCTTAACAGCAGAGAAGTTTCTCCAATTCTCTGTCTGTTTTCTTGTTTTCAATATTGGAATATATAATACTCCTAAACTTTTTTCTTTTAAAGATAGGGCCTCAGAATGTAGCCCTGGCTGGTTTTGAACTCACTTTGTTGTCCAGGCTAATCTTGAAATCATGGAGATTCAAGGAGTAAACTACTACGCCAGGCCCTAAACTTTTTTCCTTCTATCTTAAAAATTAATTATTTAATTAATTATTTAGTGTATGGGGCTGGAGAGATGGCTCAGCAGTTACGTGCACTGACTGGTCTTGCAGAGGACCCGGGTTTGATTCCCAGCACCCACATGGCGGCTGC